GCGGTATGTGACGGACAAAAGGAACCATCTACGTGCACGTAAAATATATATATGCCTGATGTAGATAAACAGTCGAGTCGATATAGATATAGGAATATAATTTCATTTATACCATCAGCGAAGATCAAGTTTATTTCATTTTATTGAGAACTGCCCAATTTTTGTGGATTATCGATATTTATCGATTTCTGATAGCAATTAAAATAACAACTTTAAAGAGAAGAAAAATAATTGAATATATCTTGTGGTCGAGCTGACTCAACTACAGCATTCCTACTTATTTATTTTTGTTCAGCTGACAGCCAACAAGTCACATGAATGTATATACCCTGAGGTGTCTGTGTGTGTTTGTTGATAGCGCTACGATTATCGGACACGAATTTGGGTTATATATATATTTAAGTATGATAACCAACACAAAGGCTCTGACGCGAGTTTTGCAATTGGGTGCGCAATTACCTGAATTACCAATTCCATAGAAAGTGCAATGAAATTTGTTATCAGCGTTCAAAATTTGTGTGAATCACCGAGCGTGGCGGCGCTGAGGAGAGGCCGTCAAGTTCAGGGCTAAGTTTTTATCAGACAACGAACCACTTGGGCATTACGGTGTCAAGGCATATTACCTATATTTGTGTGTGTGGCATTAGCAGCGCCACTTAATGCAGCGACTAACTAACCTGCAATTATCCAAGCACTTTCCCTAATTAATACCTAAAAGTCGTCCTTTGACTGCGAGCAAATGAATCGTTAGCGTTCAAATGAGTGCCACAAAACTATACAAAATATCAATTCAGTTAGCTGCTAATTAACGGCGACCCATATTAATGTACATAAATAGAGGGGTTATCGGGTAGGGAATGGTTATGGAGGGTCACGGGGGTCAACAGAAAATGATTGCAGAGCGCGTGCTAAATTCTTTTAGCTTTTTCCACATTAAATGCACATTTTGGTCAGCCTTAGGCACACGCCATCAAATTATACGAACTGCGATAGACGATATATGCTCTATATATATATTTATATATATACATAAATTAGCCCAAAGCTGCGTGCAGAGAACAGGGCCAGTAAAAGGCCAATGAAAAAAAACATTGCATGATATGTGGGCATTTTCAGCTGCAACAGCAAACAGCAAACGGCAAACGGCAACCAGCAACAATGAATAACTTTATGTATATTAGAGTACACACTTCACTCCGCCCCCTCCCTCTTCTCACGACCAAGTGCTCATGTATTCAGGCCAAGTCCTCACGGCGGTTTAACAACTCTTTATACTTAGCCAGGCCAAAACGGGCAAACAACCAAACGCCTTTTGCCATACCCTGTAGCCAAACAAACATGTAAAGGGCATATTTGACTAAAAATCGCATTCACTCTGAGAAAGACATCTCAGAGTTTTTGCATCAGCTTAACATGTCAACATTTCAAATATATATTAAAGTTAGTTCTTCATTTGAAAGTTGATTTGCTCAAAGGGTATGTGCTAGTCGCTCACATTTAGTTAGATCATTTTGATTTGGTATATTTCATTCGTGTTGTGTACTCCTCGTCTGTCAGTGTAATTACAAATTCGCCATGCCATGCCTCATGTGGCAACATTGCATGAGGTCGACAACTACATTAACAGCTCTTTTTTTCTTTCATCTAGTAAATCTTTGGTGTGCGTGTGAGTGTGTGTGTGTGTGTGGGTGTTGGAAATCTTCATGTCTGGCACGTGTTGTGGCTCACTTAGTGCCTGGCAGCTAAGTGCCACATCTGCCACGCTGGTGGCAGGCAACTTGAGCTGCTGCGGTTGCACTCAAGTCTTATTTGATTTAAAGACACTCTTGCCACACTTCTTGTCCTTGTCTTGGCCAATTGTCAACGTCTGCTGTTGTGGATGTGACAACGCTGAGAATTTTGTCGGCTTCAAATTCTTATTTGATTTTCTAATTGGCTTTGGCTTCTATTTTTTTTTTTTTTTTTGGGTCGTGCTAAACGAAATGATTTTGCACTTTGTTTATCAGCAAATAGCGCTAAATAAATGTTTATGTCCAGCTTATTTCATATATTCATATATATATGTATATATACAGGGGTTTTTTTTTCATTTTCTTACTTGCCCTGATTTTGATACTGTTTTTTTTCTTGTGTTTTTTTTGGGGCTCTGTTTATCAGCACAGAAAGTCAATAACTGATTGCGAGAAAAAGCAAAAAAACAAAAACATAGAACGGAATGAACAAAAACAAACAAATCTTATAAATAGCATATAGATATTGCTATATATTTGTGTGATCAGCAACTTTTTAACTGCTGCCCTTAATTGACAGTTAAGTTCTGAATATTTGGTTTGACCTTCTCTGTTGCATTTTGCCCAGGTTAACAAAATCGTGCGATGATGCGTCAGCTTTGACTTCGGGGCCTTATCGAGGCACTGAATCACAACATTGTACAGAACAACAACAACCAAAACAACAACAACAACAACAACAAGAACAACTCACAACAAGCTCTGATAATAACAATTATGAAATCAACACGAGTAGCCGAGTGATTTCCCATTTGGAATGTGGGCGATAGACCGTAAAAGTCACGCAATACTTTTACCTAGAAATCCACTCAGCACTTTCAGATCCTGCTTACACACACATATATAAATATACACATATATATATATACATATATGCATAGACACAGCCACAAGTGTCTAGCTCTTATTATTAGAAATTGACTGAAGACAAAAGTAATCAACTAATTAAATACGCTGACACTGAGTCTGAGTGGGATTCTAATAAGAGCAGAACGACTAAACTATTTGAATTGGATTGCAAATATTAAGTAGCTGAAGTGAATCAATAATGCTCTTAAGCAGTATTATTTAACAAAGTTTTGAATACGTGGCTAGGAAAAGTACTTCCATAATTTTAGCTCTTCATTCTTCCAAGCAAAAAATAGAAATTATTCCTCTTTGTAGATCTCATTTTGTTACTAGCACCTATTAAATATATATGTAGGTCAAGTGCATCAATAATTCATTGGTTTAAATTATTTGTTAATTTTAGAATTTCCAAGACTAAAACATAAATATTTTTTCTCTTCTGCAGATCTTCTTTCTACTCCCACTTTATAAGTATAAAGGTAGCTGAAGTGAGTCAATAATATAAATAATAATATTAATCGGTGGCAAAGACTTAATTTATTCAACATTAATTGCTCTTCATTTATTATACATTCCAGTTGACATTTATTTTCCTTAGAAGCAATAAATATACCCGTACTGAAGTGAATAAAAAATAGCCTTAAATATTATTATTTATTGAGTATATAGTTAGAAAAAGGAGTGGATCGGTTCACATATACATAGCATATTATAATTTATAATCGCTAAAAAAATATAAATGATTTCTCTTCTCTTCTGCTGATCTCATTCTTTTTTTAATGCGAGTCTCCCACACGATTCTATTTTTTTTCAAATTTCAAACCAATATTTTCCTTTAATTGATCTGGTTAATTTTAGTTTTGTTTAGTGTGAAAATTGCCCATCAGCTGTTGGCTGCCAGACGCTCTGCTTTCCCTCAAATTTTCAAAATTGCTCACGCGCCCCCCTCCCCTCCCCGACCTCTTTATTAGGTTAAACGTTTCATCTTGGCATCATCTGCCATCCAGTCAAGTGTCTCGCCTGCTGTTTTTCAACTTGTTTGATGGATTTCTAAGTGCGTGGATCGCTGTGATTTTTCAAAAAGCAAAAAAAAAATAAATGTATAAAAAGTATAAAAAGAAACCTAAGTAAAAAAAGCTTTGGCAACCTATTTGTAGAGCTCATTTGGAGGCGAAAAAAAAAGTGTCGCGGTAAATGATTAATTAGCTGTTATTTCGGTGCTTTTGTTGTCCTATGTTGTTGTGTGTAGTTCTTGTGTGTAGTTCTTGTGTGTAGTTCTTGTGTCTGTGTGTGTCTGTGTGTGCCTGTGAGTGGGAAAAGCCTCCAATGAGTTGACTCAGCGCCTCAATTATTCATGCACAGTGGCCCCTGAAAGTAGCTGTCTGCAATTTGCTTTGTGGAGTGTGGCAAACACTTTCAAAGTTGTAGATCTTCTTGCTGCTGTTGTTGTTGTGGTTGTTGTGTCCCTTAAGTAGATATTTTAATTTGCTTTGCTTTGGCAGCTGTCCCAAATGCTTGGCCATAACCCCCTTCCGCACTCACCTTTCTCTCTCTCGCTCTCTCTGCAAGCAGCGTGGCATGGTTTATTTACTTGGAATTTGCGACGTAAATATTTAATAATCGAGTCCTTGGCACACAGAGCAAAATACACAGAGAGAAAAAGACGAGAGCAAATAATATCAACAAGAAGAACACGCAACACAATTAGAGCAACATAAAGTACAACAACAACTGGCTGACAAATGATGCTTAGTCTGTGTGCGTTGTCTTTTCGCACCCACTGTTTACTCACTCGCTCTCTCTGTCTCTCCCTCGGAAAGTTCATAAGACCTGTGGGACAAGACCCGGGACCCTGAGCACTTGACAAATGGGTTGTTCAAGTGGGGGTAGCAAGTGGGAGGGGAAATGGGTGGAGGGCTGTGGGGTCTGTGGGTTTTCCACTGAAAAACCTGTTGCGCAGCTAAAAAAAATCCGACTGACGTCAGCAATGAAGTTGGTGTGTGTGTGTGTGTGTGTATGTTCCCATCCTTTTATTGATTTTCCGAGCGCGCACATCAAAGAGAACAAAGGCGCACTTTAAACACATTAGCGGCTACACTGAGCAAAAAGTTGGACTACAGCTAGCCGAAAATTGATTTTTTTTATAGCTTTTTTGTAGTGCTGGCGAATCAGAAGCATTTCTAATCAGTAAATGATGTATATATAATAGGTATATATACTACTTTCCCTCACAAGAGACAGAATTCTTGGTAATCAGATATATATATATATATATAAATGAATAACATCTTTTGATTAAAAGACAGCTTTAAGCTCACTTAAATATATTGTCCAGTAAACTCTGTTTAAGTTCAAACTCACCTTTCTCGAGGCTGGCGTTGCAGAATTTGAGCGCATCGTCGAGATGATTGAGATGCATGTAGCTTGTGGCACGTTCGAGGATCGCCTTCGCCTGCAACTCGGCGCCCCACCACTTCTCGACGAGTCGCCGCACGAGCACATCGGGCATGAATTTCATGGCTCTGGCGCCACCACCCAACGCATAGCCACCCAAACCAACGACTAGCGACGATGATGATGATGATGAACTGGTGGCTGCCATTGTTGTGGTTGCCGTCGCTGTGGTGGATGCCACCGTTGTGGTTGTCACCGTTGTCGGTGCGGCGACAACGGGCAGACGCATATCGAGACCACGGGGAAAACTGCTCACCGTCACCGGTGGCAGACGCCAGAGGCGCGTCGCTGATAGCTGTGAGCCAGTGGAGCTGAGGCTGATTGCGGTGGTGCTGGTGCTGCTGGTGGAGGTTAATGCCACGCCCTGTGGCATACGGTCGACGCAGCGTGGAAATTTGGTGTGGCAGATGTTGCACTGCGTGATCGTCTCGCAACACTGCCCGCAAAAGGTGTGTCCGCAATTCGTGGTCACCGGCACACGCAACATATCACCACACAGTGGACACAACAGTGGATCATAGTCCACGTTCTGCGCGGGACTCGGCACACGCAGCTCTCGCCTGGGCTGATCATCGCTGAGGCTGAGAAATAGATCAGCATCGGCCACATCTGGCAACAGATCCAAGCCCAGCGTGTGTGCTGGCCAATTATCGACATGTTGCCGCTGGCGCTGATAACGTGACTTCAGACTGGACTCCAGAACATGTCCGGCAACGGCTGCCAGCCTGCTGCCGCTGCCGCCCAGCTGGCGTAGGTGTGTCGTTAGAGCGCTGGCCAGCGCAGCCAGCTTGTCCAGCGGCACATGTCCATCCTGCTGGCGACTGGCAATATGCTCGTAGACAGCAAACGCTTGCAGTATGTTGCCCGAACGGGCATACGATTCACCCAAAAGAAATGACAACTGCAACGAACTGTTATTGTTGCTATGGCTGCTGCTGTTGTTGTGGTTGTTGTTGCTCTGCAATAGCGCTTGAAGCGTGTGCGTTGAGCTGGACAGCGGCTGGCTTTGATTATGATGATGATGTTGATGATGATGATGCAATTGTTGCTCCCGTTGATTCTCCTTGCGCAGCGCTTTGAGAGCGCGCTTGGCGTCCAACGAGGGCTTCATGCAATAGCCCTGAGAGAGCGGCATTTTGACAGCTGTTGCTGTCCCAGTTGCTGTTATTGTTGTTTCTGCTGCTGCTGCTGCTGTTATTGTTCTGTTGTTGCTCTGTATAGCTGGCCGTGGTCACGTATGCGACGACAACGGCGACGTCGCAGCGACGCCCGACGCGACGACGACGCTCGCCAACGTCACAGAAATTCCCACTGCTAATGAACTTTGTTGTTGATTTTTTGTTCTTTTGTTTTTCTTTTTTCGAAATTTAATTGAGTTCAATTTTGTTTTGCGTTTTATTTTAGATTTTTGATATTATTTTTTATACACTCCACTCTGGCCCCAACAAGTATCACACAGCACTGGGGCCCACACTTTTTATAATTTAATTTATTTAACTTGTATGCATGAAATTAGTATTAATTTTTGTTTGGTTTTTTGCGAGTGACAACGACGCGTGCAGTTTGGCAGTCATTGACTGAAGTAGAACAATTATTGTTGTTGTTATTATTATTGTTGTTATTATTGTTGTTGCTGATGTTACTGGTCAGCGCAAGCGACGACGACGCGTTCGGTTGGGCATCTGAAAGCAGAAGACGAGACGAGAAATGAAATCAACTGAATGTGTACTGGGCAATTTACGTAACGTACAAAATGCCGTTTGCGTTTCTGCCGCCATCGCAGCTTTTGATTCTGTTTTATAATTCACACGCACACACTCACAGTCACACATACACACGCACACATAAACAAAGCGCGCAGCTAAAGAGAGTGCGAGCGTGCGACTCTCTCTCTGCCGTTCGCTCTTTGATTTGATTTTTCGTTTTTATTGCCTGCGCCTCGCCTGCCTATTTTATGACAGCTCCAGAAGAAGAAGAAAAGACAAAAAAAAAACCGTATCTATTATTTAAACTGTGCACAAGTCTGCTATCTCTCCCATTACTTGCATCGCTCTCAACTGCGCTTGCTCTCATCTACTTGAGCACTCTCTCACGCTCTCTCTCTCTATCTCTGTGTCTCTGGCTCCTGCAGTGACGTGCCATTTGTCGCGTATGCTGCTAATTGACTGCCCTAAAATTCTGAGCTTTGCAGCTGCCAGCTGCCAACTTTTGAGACTTTGGCGCGTTACATAAACGGTCAACGAACTTGCTGCTAAATGTTAACTCACACAAACAGCGAGTGTTCTTTCTGTTCAAGCAGCATTACTTTGAATGCTAATGTAAATGTTATCATTGCACTCGCAGTCAATTGTCAGCTGTCCCCGCCGCACATGTTGTTACATAATGTTATGAAAATTAACACTGAATCACGCAGCCAACTAACGCAAAGTAACGAAATCAAAATCAAAATCGTCGACACATACAAGCACACACACACACAGGCACACACACACACAAACACACACACACAAACACACACAGATACGCTCACAGATAGAAGAACGTCCGCCCGCCTCTGGCATCAGTCAAGCAATAACAACTCAAACAAAGCCAACACAATCATACATATATTAACAGACATACGCGCTCTCTCGCTCTTGCTCGCTCTCTTAACTCTTGACTCTTGTGCTCACGGCGCTCTTTAGAACTGTTCTCATATTGAGAGCTGTTTTGCTTCAACTGCTGCTGCTGGTGCTGCTGCTGCTGCTGTTATTACTGTCAAATGCGCACGTTTTTCTTTGACGTTCGGTTTTTGTGTCTTGAAGATAAACAATGCCGGCACAACACACACTCACAAACACACACACACACAAGCAGACGACCAAAGAGCGTCGTGGCTATTGGCAACGTTTGAATGTTTTTGGTTTTGTTATGTAAACAATCGTTTTTTTTCTCATTTTTTCGCTTCAATTTTTTCATTTTATTTTTTTGGGTTATAATTTGTTTACATCTCGCACAAGCCACACAGATAGATAAACAGGAACAGACACAGATACAAATACAGATAAGTTTTCACAACGCGAGACTGAAATCAAAGTGTGCCAAAAAGAAAATTGCGTGCAAATAAAAACTTTGATTTCTTTATGTTCTCTGTGTGTGTTGTTTTTTTTTATGTTCGCATTTGTCCCAGTTGCTTTCGGCCAACAAATATTTTGCATAAATTTGATGTTAAGTAATGCCGCAATATTGTCTATGCTAGTTGGTAGTTAGCCAAGAAAATTAGAAATAAGAATATACGCTCGAGCGAAGGTTCTTATAGATATTTTTATCTAGATATACATTTTTGATTTCTTTCATGCGCCCCAAACTACAACAATATAATATCGAATGATTATTTGTTGCAGCACACACACACATACATATATATATATATATATATATATATTTATGTTTATATATATATAGAGATATATTTTTATTTTATTTACGATCTCTTCGAATCGAAACGCGTGTCAGATTTGTGGCCTTACATAATTGTTATCTAGAATATTCCCGAAGGTGAGAACAGATATAAATATAGTGTTTACGGCTTAAGCGGAGACTTCTGAGAACAAATGAATCACAGACGAGGATCGCCAATTAGAAACAGCTGTTTGATTTGCTTGAGACTGCTGGTCTTCCCAAGCGGAAGCAACTCATTTACAACACCTGCTTATTCTTTTGCAACACAACAGCTAATTCATAATCGCTGAACGTAATCGCGTAATGCGTTACGTCTATCTATCTATCTATATAATATATATATATATATATATACATGTGGGTGAGCTTGTCAGTTTGTGACGCATTTGGAGGCAGTAAAAGTTGGTAAACAACTTTCAGTTATCCGATTCTAACTGGTTTTGTTTTTGACCTGAGGACTTTGCGTAAGTACAAATTATGTATACGACTCATGTAACGAGTGCAAGTATTTGCCAGTGTGTGTGCCAGTGTGTGTGCGAGTGTGTTCTAAGTGCTTGCATGGGCTCTGTAATTGCATAATACTTATAACGACGCTGATAAACGCTTTTAAATGAATTGTAAATATGCCATTCCAATCGTTGTTGTCTGAAATTACTATTTATTTATACAGATATATACATATTTATATATATATATATATATACATATTTCATTCTTTCATTTCTGGTTTTCATTTACAATACTCGCATTATGCAATGTCAATCACATTTCGCGATTGCATTTATCGTTGCTGACTGTTGTTGTTTCCAGTGCCTCAGCTTCAGCCATCAGACGACAGACAACAGACAACAGTCGACAGTCGACAGTCGGCAGTCGGCAGTCGACATGGCGGCAATGGCGACAACATTCTGAGGCGGAGACTGGAATTGGAACTGAGACAAAGACGGAGACGAAGACGGAGACGAAGACGGAGAAGGAGCTGTGGGTAAGACAGACGACAGACAACGTTGGCCGAGAACGAGACAAAAAACCAATTACAACGACGACATCAGCTGATTTTTAGTTGAATACCCTAGAGTTTTTTCAATTAAAGAGTAATTCACTTCAAATAAGCACTTTTCGTACTTAATTTAATTTTCATTTCCACAGATATCTTTTTTATTTATCTGAAAATGAAAAGTAATATTTTTTTTGGTAACAAGATTTAAGGACGAATATTCAATCTTATTAATGATATTTACGGCCAACAAAGTTCAACAAAACTGTAGCGATTTTCAAAAGCAATCGCTTTTCATTAGCCAAAAATGGCCTTCAACAATAATCTTAATTTCCAGGGTATCTGCTAGTTCAAGCGACTGAATTGAAGCAAACGCTTTGTGTTCGCAGTAGTTATTATTAGTTAAGTCAATTGTTGTGGGTGGCGACAAGAAATTGCCATGAAATGCAATGTCAAATGCAAATATAGCGAAAAAGTGCCTGCGAAATTAGCTTTATTTTCTTATTTTTTATTTGCCTAGCCTAATTGAAATCGACTCTACAAGTGAGTGTTTGTGTGTGTGTCTGTGTGTGTGTGTGTGCCTGAAAAGAGCATATGTTTTGGGCCTAATAAAATTACATAATTGCTGTGATTGTGATTGGCATTCAATAAAAGGCGAGCAGCGAGCAAAGTGTTATGAAATCGACTACGAACTTATTATACAATTTTCATAAGCATTTTTCTTGCTGGTTGTTTTTGTTGTTGTTGCTGCCGCTGTTTTGTTGCTGTGTGATTTGTGCTTTGATATTGTTTTATTTGCTTTTTATTTTTTTTTTTAATGGCGCTTTTTATGATGACGATAAACGCCACAAAAAAATAAGAGCATTGAACAGAAGAAAAAGGAAAGAAAAACAGCTGGTAGACTCAAGCCAATAACTTGAGGAAATTGAGGAAAATTCTATTTGTGCTTTAGGGCTGCTTGTGAGTTCCACTTTTGATTTGCTGCCTGATTGCCACAGCTCCGTCCTCCTCCCTAGCAGATTGCTTATATAATGCCAAATTACTTCAGATTCTGACTAATTGTTTTTATGGACTTGTATCAGGCCATTCACTTATATAAGCAGCAATTGTGACTCACGATTCGCTTTAGCCGCTTGCTGATTTGCCTGATGCATTTGGCTTTTTGCATAATGCCGAAGGAAATATTTGCAATTTTCAGTTAAAGGTTTTACAGCTTAACAGTTTTCATTTTGCTGTTGCTGCTGCTGCTGTTGTTGTTGCTGTTGCTGTTGCTGTAACTGGTCGCATAATGCGTCGCGTGTCGTAACGCTAACATCAACGGCAACGTCAACGGGGCGACGACGCAGCGCACGTCACGTAAACTGCAGCGAGCCGGCAATCGTTGCCCCCGGTTTGCATACCGTGTGTATTTGTATTTGTGTGTGTGTGTGTGTGTGTATTTGTTTGTGTGTGTGTATCATCAATGGAGACGATAATTTGCCAAGCAATTTGTCGCCTTTTGCACTTAAAGATCCCAGTGTAAATAATATCTAATATTAAATATTTGTGTTGGCAAGCAAATGAAATCATTTTCGATTTATTGTTTGTGTATATTTTTTTAAACAGAAAATGTTTGCTGATTGTAATTAGATCAATATGAGAATAACTTGCTGAAATCCAGTTGATCAATAATATTTCAACAAACGGGGGCAATTAACACATTTTTAATGAATTTAGGTTATGAAAAATTATATATATATGTATATTAATATTATATGACGAGGTCACCAAACAATCAACAAGGAATAATTAAAACATTATCAGAAAGCGTCGACTGATTAATGTTATAATTATATATATATGTTATAATTATAATTATATATATTGTTATTAAGCTTCAGCTTTTTAAACATCATCTTTAGCAATGCAATTAAATAACGTTTTATAAAATGACATATTAAATGAGGCAATTATTGTTAATAAATTGTTAAATTGTGCGCATTGCACATTTTTGTATTTCGTAGTTAGTTTAATTACACGTTTTACTGTTGTCTGACTGGATGTGTTATGTATTTGCATTTATTTGTGTCACAATTAGACAGAATTGCAACATTGAAATGCATTGAAAACAAATGAAAATTGAGAAATGAGAAATTGAAAAATTCTACAATGCTTTTATCACAAATTAAATATAAATTATTATCAAGTGCTGCCAATTTGATTCGCCAGAACGTCCGCAACAACTGCGACGAAATGCCAACAGCAACAGCAATAGCAACAATGGCAACAGCAACAGCAGCAGCCACAATTGGCGCAAACAACTGAAAAAACCGCTTAGTAATGCTTTTAAAAATATGGCAACACGTAAGCGGCGCGAAACGACCCCACAAACATGCCTCCCCTCTCCCCCTTTCCACCCGCTCCGCAGCGAATTTTGTTTTCACAATCAATTCGCAGAAGCAGCAAACACAAATGAAAAACTGTTTTTCCGCTGCCGCTGTCTCTGTCTCTGCCGTCGCCGTCGCCGCTTCTGCTGCTGCTGCTGGTCAGAGAGCAATGCAACTTTATTGAGCGCGCGTTCATTCACATTGCCCCACACACACACACGCACACACACACACATATCCACGCACACACAGAGCAGAAGGCGTGTGGCCTGATGTCGTAACATAGGCATAGCAAGAGAAACGTAATGCCAGCGAATGCTGTGCGCTCTCTTAGCGCCACTCTCTTAATACTTTACCTGTCGCTCAGACAACTGCTGATTCTTCTGCTGCTACTGTTGCTGCTTCTTCTTCTTCTTGATTTACTTTTACTGCACGACCGCGCCTCCTGTTTGAGTAGGCACTCACACTCACTCTTACATACACACTCACACACACACACAATAAATTCTTTTGTGTCAAAATTTATTGCCACACGCGAGAGACAACAACAAAATTAGTGCAAAATTCTTTGCTCGATTTAAAATTTTTTTTTCTATATTATTTCTTTTGTATTTTGTATTTTGTTGTGTCTTTGCTGGCCGCGTTTTACGAAGCGTGCGCGTAACTTTTGACTTTGCTTATTTTTTTTCGTATTTGTATTTGTATTTGTTTTGTAAGAACTGAACGGCTCGGCTTTACGTAACCCACAGACGGGTTTTACACATTTCGCGCGGAGAGTGCAAAAACAACAACAAACGTTATTTTCTATGTTGTGCGGCACTCTTCACATTTCAATTTATGTTGCCTTAACATATACACACGCACACGCACGCACTCGCACACACGCACACGCACTGATTACGTTGACAATAAAAGCAAAAGCGTTTTGTCGTTGTTTTGTAATGCGCTTACGTTACGGTTACGATTACGCGACGAGCTGTTAGCGGTTAGCGTTGTTCAAAGGCAACGTGTTCGATTGCTGCTCCGAGGGCGGCGAGCGCTGTTTTGTGTGCGCTCCGCTATCAGTTTCTTGCTGTACTTGCCACGGCCGCTGTTCGACAACAAATGAGCAGCGAACGAACAGCAACGAATACCGAACCGAAGGCACAATAACAGCAGCAGCAGCAGCAATAGCAGCAACAGCAGCAGCCACGATTCTCTCTCTCACACACATGCTGTCATATGCATGTTAGTTTATTATGTCATTTGTCTCTTAGACGGTTAGCAGCGTTGTTGCGTCATCAGTTTAAGTCGTGCGCGCGCTCTCTTAAAATAATTGTCTCTGTTGAGATTTACCGGCAAAACGTCAACTGTCAAACTTGGGCAGCTGGCGTGCGTAGCTAAAGGAGGTGGGTAGAGTAGGTGGGGGCGTAAGTTTACGCCCACATTGGGCTCATCATTTATCGTATGTTTTGTGCGCTTCCGGCGCCACTCAACAGTGGTATTATTAAGAGAAATGCTCGCTGTTTGATTTCATAAGTTTTTTTTGTGTCATTTAACGCACATTACGTATGCGACGTGTTGACCTCATTAGGCGATCAAAAGAGAGCCAAATACAGCTGCGGGCACACAACATTGCAACTCAGCCAACCAAACAGAGAGAAAGAGAGAGATAGAGAGAGTGAAATAGTTTACCGCTTGGCCGCTCACATTTCAAGCTCAAGTTCAACGTTGGCCATTTCGTTGCATATTTCCAGTTTAACGTTTCATGTTTGTTGTTATTAACATTTTAAGTGGCTGTTAGCTGTTGTTGTTGTTGTTGCTCTTTTTTATTTATCATTTGCAGTTACCATTTTCGTAATTTGGTAATTTGTTGCGTCTGGTTTGTGTGTAAATAACAAATATACATGTATTTACATGCACACATATATGGATGGATTTCATGTGTTAACACTGCTCGCATTTGTTGCAACATTCGCCACGTAGGAAGTAATCGACAATCGTTATGCGGATCAAGCTGTTGTTGTTGCTGTTTGCTGTTGTTAATCAACGGAAATTGCTTGGGAGTTTGCAAAATATGAGGAAATTCGTTAGCGCTTTGCATAAATTGGTAATGCGAGTGTGATCTGAATTTATTTGCTAATAACTGTAAAGTTATAGTTTGTTGCCATGAGTACTTTATGCTCAAATCTGCCTAACAGAGCTGAGAGCTGAGCAACTGGGCAACTGGGCAACAATGTTGCGGACAACCTTGACAACATTTGCGTTGCTGTGATCCTTGAGCTGGCCTTTGCAGCTGTCGGTATGACATAACAATGCACAAAACCATAAACAAGACTTTAGCATTCACATATTCAAGGTCATCAGCGACGACATTCTTCAATGGTATGCATTTGAATATTCAGAGCATACGTTTAGGCAGCGTTTACAGCGGCGCTAACAGAGCAGCTGCCTGCTTAACATCAGAGCTCTGTTATTGGCCAGCCTAAGAGTAGGCAACAGTTCGTTGAGAATTTGTTGGTTGCTTAAGTAATAAATCAAAAGATTTGGTTTGTTGTTTTTTTTTTGCATTTATCGTTTCAAAATTTGTATCTAAACCTTTATTGTTTTGCAGTTTCAATAAAACATATATATATATATATATATATATATATACCACTCTTCAAATAATGCCATCATTAAATCCAATAAATATTATTCATCTTATTGGTTTTCATTCTGCTTGCACTTCACAGAATTTTTCGCTTGTCGTTTGTAACTTAAATATCCGTTAAACAATGAAAATCAATGCGTATGACTTGAAAATATTGAAAATTAGTTCAACTAAAGGAATATGTTTCAGTTTGCAGCAACTTAACAGTACAGATTAGAGACAAGTACAAAAATGTAACAAATCATTCAGTTAAAATTAGAAATTAAACTAATATCTGCAGCATTTTTGCGCCTTTTTTCATTTCTTTTTTTTTTTTTTAAATTTTCTTTTTGTCGAGCACTTGTGTTTAGTTTGTTAGCATTTCTTTTACGCTTTTTATATTGTAGATTTTGTTTTTTAATTTTTAGTACGTCTTGTTTTTTCTTTTTGTTTCTTTTTTCTTTTTTTTTTTTTTGTATATATATCTAGGTACATGTTAGTGTCCTTGCATAGGCTGTTTTTGTTTTTACTTGAATTGTTATTAAATTTTAAATTTAAATTTAAGTTGTATTTTCATTTTGCATGCCAACAACAACTAGGCGCATTTTTTTTTTAAATTTTATTTTTTCTTTATTTCTATTTTTTTATTTGCATTGCTCTCTATTGCCGCAAGCGGATTTTGTTTTTGTCCTTTTTAGTTTTATGTTACTAATACAAACGCTTTACAAATTGTTAGTTCTAAATTATGTTTAGCTTTAGCGTTAGCCATTTAATTTATGCCTTTTTTTTTTAAAGGTATTTGTTGTATTCCATATAAAATTATTTGCATTCGTTTCAATCGCAAAATTCTCAAAATATAAGTAAAGGCTCTAAAACGCATGTGGTGTGTGTGTGTTTTTGAGGGGTGTTTAATTCTTTTGTTTAATTTAGGGCTTTTTAGCTTCTTTTTGCAACAACTAACAATTTTTTTTTTTTTTATTTTTAGTACTTTTTTTGTCCTGGTTTTTACTACGTTTATCGTTCTGCTTTCTGATTCTGATTTTTTGTTATTTTATTGATTTTAAAATTCAACAACGTTTTCACTTTAATAATGTGTAAGAATATATATATACATATATATATATATATATATATGTATATGTATATATATATACACACACACATATATGTAAGTATTTTATGTGTATATGTATATAATATTATATATAATATATGTATATAGCATTTAATATGTTCGCATTGCCGACTTCCCTACTCAATCCTTACCCGCTTAAAACACTCAGCACTTTCTCACCGGCTTAACTCTGTGTCTAGGCTTAGTTATATGTATATCATCTAGATAGATACTATATCGTATTCTAGATACATATCTCTATATATATCTCCATTTGCTAATCCCGTTTTAGCGTCTTTGCTTTGCACTGCAACAATTTGTGTCTTTAGTTACTATTTATACCCCTGCCTACGATTACGATGCGCAACAGCTCCATTGCTCTATGTGGTTTTATATAAACTATATATATGTATATACTATATGGTAGTATATGCTAGGTATTGTAATGTATATATGTATATAAGTACTTATAAAAAATCATCAGCTACAATATTGAATTTATCTACAAAAGTTACTTCCAACTAATCATTATAATTAGCATTATAATAGTTCTTTGTAATCATAACCAATAACATGCAATTTCACATCCTCGACTACTGTCATCTTCTGCTTCTTCTTCTTCTGCTTCTTCTGCTTGCCGCTGTATGTATGTATGTATTGTATATAATAAATATATATGTATGTATATATGTATATATTGTATATTAGACATAACTTCGATTTTCATTTTAATAACAAAAGGTTTTTTTACTTTCAGTTTTATCGTCTTGTGTTGTTGCTAAAGTCTACATTTTGTTACGGAACATTCTTATCAGAAATATTAATACATATTTTCTTCTTATTTATTTTTTGTCTCTTTTTTTTTTGTTTGTTTGTTTGTTATTTAAAAACCTAGTGTTCAATCACTAACGAAATAAATGAAACTACAACAAACTCGTTGCATACAATTTTTGTTTGTATAATTTATGTTTTTTTTTGTTGTTTGTTTTATTTCAATTATTATTTTTATTCTTTTGCTGTGAGCTGTCTTAGTTTGCTGCTGTTGTTGTTGTTATCTATTTGCCTATGTTGCTCGCTTAGCGGCTGTGCGAGGCGTCCAACAGTGCCGCCTGAAAGTATGCTCCAAAATGGCCAACAAATTACGAGCTAACAAAATCAAGTTTTGCAACTTTTATTCGAATTCAACAAAGAAAACATTCTACAAAAAAATTAAATGTAAGCAACTACAAACTACTAAAATACTAAATAACTAATTATACGCTATAAATATATATAAATGTTCATTATTATATTTATTTTCTTTTTTTTGTGGGGTGGTCACACTTTCTGTCGCAGCTGCTTGCCTGGAGGTTGGCGATGGGCCGGGGGGAGGGAAGGGAGGGCGGTGCACACTCGACACAGCCGCCGCAATTAATATTTTTTTGTTTCACCTCTATGCGCATTTATATCTTAGACATAAATATCTTTATATAAATATAACACGATTTCCATTTTCATTTACTTAATTGAATTTATAGTACAAATACGTAGCAATTGCTTAGTTTTTCATTTTTCATTTTGTTTTTTGTTTTTTTGTTTTGTTTTGTGTGAAGTGTATTCGGGCTAAATTCACTACTGTATGTATCGTTATCGTTATCGTTATTGCTATTGCTATCGTTATAGTTATCGTATAATTTCTGTGTCAGTTTACTCAACAACCAAAGCTCAAACATTGACTCAACTTTTCCAAATGAAACGAGTACATTTTTTATAGTTTCCTTTTTTTGTTTTTGTATTTGTTTTTGTTTTTTCTCTAGGTGGTTTCATAGCAGTGCAAAAGGCTTTAAGGTTCCATTTATTTATTGTGTGTGTGTATCTGTGTGTGTGTGTGTTTTGGGGGGAGTTGTTGTTCTTCGTAGTTGTCAACTTTACGCAGAAATTCAGGAGCTGTATTCAATTTGGTTGAATTTGAGCTGGGTGCACATCTTCTCTATTCATGTAGGTGTTTTTAGGTGTACGTAGGTATCTACTGGATAAACATCTAATTAGTTAGCTAGTTGTTTGTTTGTTTTATGTAGAGATATATCTATAAATGTAATTGCCTTGCTTTGTATTATCGTTAGGGTTAGTTTCGGTATTTTTTTAATTCGTATTTAGTTAAACCGTACTTGCTGTGAGATCCTTGCATTGCATACTAGTTAAATTGATTTCCTTTTTTTTGTCTCGGTTGTACCAAGTTAAGGGGGGGGGGGGGGGGGGGGGATCATATAGAAGGGGTTTCACATAAACCAAACAGAACCAAAAAACGAAAAAGATTTCAATATTTGAAAGCAACGCTTAGATTTTTATTATTACACAATTGTTTTTAGCTTGCTCTTCTCTTTTCGTTCCTCTCTCATTATTATGATTTTTGTATCATCTTTGAATGGGTTTTTGTTTGTTGTTGTTTGTTTTCTTTTCGCTTTACTTGTTTGTTGCACAATTTCCATTAAAAAATAAATAAAACTTATCGAAACGTTTAAAGTGCTTAAAAATTAATTGAATTATTGCAAAATGAATTGTCAAATTTATTGTAATGCCTCAAATGAATTTTTTGCAATTTGCGTGTGTGTTTTTTTTTCTCATTTTGTGTATAAAATTTATTTAATTTTTCTTGTTTTTTTTTTTTGTTTTTCACTTAATGTTTCTTTTTTGTTTTGTTATTTATTAGCTTAGAATGCTAGGTATGCAGGTAAATGTAACTCAATGTTTAACAAATAAAATTAATAAAACTTAACTAAAACTGTAAACAGTAATAAAAATAAAAATAATAATAATATAATAATAGTAATAATCATAATAATAATCATAATAATATTTATGTGCAAGATTTAAGATCCTGCAAAATCACACCAAACAAGTTAGTTTAAACAAAAAGAATAGAAATAGTGACAAAAAAATAGATTGTGAACTGTAAAATGTTCCATAAGTGGGAGAAGTAGGAGTAGGAGTAGGTGTGGTTGGTAATTAGTTTACACTAGTAAGAAAAGTGGGCTCACATCGAAGATTGAGCAAGTTTTCATGCTCGCTGACTATTTGCCCGGTTAGTGCTGCTTAAATAGTTGTTCTTCTTATTGTTATTTCTCATCATCTGCCGTCATCCTTAACGTATTATTGTAGTTATCAACAAATAACAGAAACTATGAAATAATAGGTTTTTTTTTTGTTTATGGGAGTACTGTACCATAATTAATTAATAATTATAATGTTTTGTAACGTGTTGTTTTTTTTTTCTTTCTTTCTTTTATAGCTGGTTTTATAATATAAAAAAATCATAGATCGCTTAAACTAACAGCTGCCTGCCTGCGACGAGGCAACTGAGGAGGGAAGTTCTTTGCTCATTTCTAAATGGTTTTACTTGTAGTAGTTCTTCTTCTTCATGTTTGTTGTTTTTTATAATCATAAATTTTGTTATGTTTTCATTTTTTTGTATATTTTTTTTGTTGTTTTTTTTTGGGGGTTTTCATTTTGCAATTTTTTGTTTGATTTTTTGTGTAGAGTCAAATTGAAAAAGGAGGCAACGAAATTATTTACATATGGATGCACGATTTATGCTAAAAAGGAGAAAAGCAAAAAATATGAACTAATAAACCTTAACAAAATTATTTAAAAACTTAGAAAATTGGTGCACATATATATATATATATATATATATATATGTTTAAGGGTTTAGAACTCTGGTTTGCTACAAACTAAGTAATAACAAAAGAAGCTACGTAAAAATTAACAACTCCTAGATAACAGGGTTTCAGGTTTCAGTTATCAGCCCAGAGTCAACCTTAACGGTACATTTTGCTTAACGGTTGCACTTTGCTGGTTATCGCATATCGATTGATCGATATTTATCGATTTTTGCTTGCTTTTCGCTATAATTGGTGAGAGACATTTGCAGTCGGCTGTTTGAAGTTGATTTTTGTTTGCTTTAGGCTACACTAAAAATGTAAGTTAAATGTTTTAGTTAATTTGCATTTCGTTTTTGTTGTTTTTCTTTCTGTTACTTTTTAAGTTTTAAATAAATATGCGGTGCAGGCCGCTGCGTACAAATGTGTGTGTGGTGTGTGTGTGTGTAAGCAGTGTGTGGATGCGTGTGTGTGACTGACTATATATATACAGATATATATATAGGTTGCATAGGAATATGCATGGTATCTATAGTGTAGTTTTCATGTCTGTTTTACTAAGAGTTATTAGTGGTATTTATCAATTATCGATAAACAATAATTATTATTATTATTATTATTATTATAATGTAATTGTTGATGTGGTTTCGTATCGCATCAAGTCACATTTGTTTGTATTTTCCTTTAATTATTATTACACATCCTGGAATTTGGATAGACGTGCACGCAAGTCCATGTTCTCCTGTTTTAGCTGCTCCACCTCCTGATGTAATGTTGCGTTCTATTTAAAGAGATTTGGATTTAGTTTTAAGATCGGACTTGGAGATGGGTAGATGGAAAGATGGATAGATTGAGGACTCACTTCCTTTTCCAAGTAGCGGGCACGCATCGCAATTTGATTCTCCTTTTGGCGGCGCGCATCCCGGGATCTTTTGGCGGCAATGTTGTTCTTTCGCCTGCGGGCCCAGTACTTGTCGTCCTTGAGCTCATCTGGAACAAATTGTTTGCGTGACTTTTTAATCATCGGCTGCGGTTTGAGCTCTTCATCGGAGAATGCTCTGGTGCGCGGATCAAAGTCACGCCCCGACGATGCGAATGAAAATGCTGGAATATCAAATACTAAATGTTAAAAATGTTTCTCACAGACTGTTCGTGCTAAATTAAATCAGAATCAGAATCAGAATCAGAATCAGAATAAAATGAGGAGCACACAACTCTTTCAAGACAAACAAAATATAGAAAAGAAATTAGACAAGAAAAAAAAAAAATTATATGGAATTGTAAAGAATAAGAAAAGACTTAAAGAAAATGATGTAATAAGGAATACAAAAAAATTTGCCTCGAAATTTTGCACAAATTGGAATGTAATCAGCCTTTAACATTTAGCATTTGATAAGACATGAGCAAAAACATTTCTCCGTTTTTTTTTCTTTCTTATTTTCGATTTATATATATTTTTCTTCTTTTTTTTTTTTTTTTTTTTTTTTGGGGTTAGGGTGTTTGCTAGATGAAAAAGTTATATATGGTATATATATATTTATATATCAAAATTATAATCAAATATATATTGTAATTAAATTCAAATTTCAATTCAAGTTAAATCGGCGCAATGTCCATTCCATTTGTGTTTTTAATTAAATAAATAAAGAGAGTTAATAATAATAAATAATGATAATTTAAAGGATAAGGTTGTGACGACTCTAAGGGGTGACTGATCTTTCTCACACTTTCTCACACTTCTCTCTCTCTCTCTCTCTCTCTCTCTCTCTCTGTCTGTCTCCGCGCTTGGCATACTCACTTGATTCGGCCGGCGATGGGGGATTTAGCGTATCGGGACTAATGCAATCCGATGGCGATGGCGATCGCTCGCGTTTTGTTGTTATATGTCCGAGACCCAGGGACAGACCCGCTGCATGGCTCAGTGAGTCGGATCGATGACCGAGGCCACCGGAGTGCCCCAAATGGGGGCCGGGCAGGCCGTCAGGTATATTATTCTCCGACAAGAACTCATCTAGGTCCGCATACTGCATTCGAAAAAGATATGCACAATTGTATTGGATGCCGCAAAAATGTATTCAGCAAAAGCAACAACCACTCAAAAAATGGCAACAGAAACAGCAAACAGCAAACAGCAAACTTCACAAACACTGGCATAAATTTGTGTGTGTGTTCTCAACTTTCAATTACTATTCAAATTACTTTGCTACGAATTCAATTACTTAGGTAATTGGTACATGATCTCTCATTGATTTTAGCTGTTATAATTCCTTATTAATTAAGCCAAATTACTCAAGTAATTGCAGCCAAAGAATGGAAAGTAATTGCGTATGTAACTGAAAGTTGTTTAGTATCATTTACAAAATATTATTAGTCAAATTGAGAATAGGACAAACTATGTTGCTTAGATATATACAATATTATATGATGAGAACACAATTCTCGCACTACGTTAAGCACCAAACTCGGGTTAATTGTTCATGTTCTGATCTTGTTGTGTATGTGTTTGTTTGTGTGTATTTGTTTGTTTGTTTGTTTGTTTATGTGTGTCTTTGTTTGTGTCTGTGTAACTGTTTCGTTTGCATTTTTTGGCATGTTAGGTGGGGTGGGTTGGGGTGGGGAGTAGAGTTAAACATACGCAGCCACTACTCATCTATGATATGATACTAACTTGTGTTACCTTGAGGTCATCATCGGAGGGTCTTGTCTTTGTCCCACTGATTGCTGGCCTAAATATGCTCTTTGCTCCTCTACATTCCAAATGTCGCCCTCCTCCCTGCACCTGTCCTCACGGATATATGATTTCTTTGCTATTCGATGTGGATTTGCCTGCAAATAGAATTGAATGCACACACTTAGTATAACTGGAAATTAATCAAATCTAATCAACAGCACAATCAACCATTGTTTTTTCCCCCGTACAAATTACGATTAATAACACGGTAGACGTCGACAAATGGGGCTGATAAGCAGCGCTTGCCACTACGCCAATAATTGTTGTTGCTGTCAAGTGCAACTAGTGTTTATTTGATAAGGGCATGAGCACTGCTTGGGCGCCTGTAAAGTGGGTCAAAGCTGCGTCTCCTATACATATATATATATATATATATATATGCCCATTATCCATACACACATACTATTATTAAATATTACCATAAAAACGAAAAACGGGGCAATTCCTTTTAGCAACACTGGCCAAAAAAAAAAAGAAAAAAAAACCAACACAAATTGCAGCCAACAATTTCCGCATGCGCCTCAAACGACAAACAAACAAAGCAAAAGCAAACACAATTCAAAGGGGGCAAGGAGGCAGGCGACAGGCAAATCAACAAACAAAGCAAACAAAAGAGGAAGCAGCAGCGACAAGCAACCAGGCAGCGCAGCCAGCAGCAGCTAAAAGCGAAAGTGAAATTTCAGCTTTCAACTGATTTTTATCGTCATTCGCTCTCCGCTCGCAGCGCAATTCACTCAAAAAAACAAAGAAAAAAAGCTGCGCTCAGTGGACGCTGCGCATGCGCAGCTGAGCGTGCTTTTACTGCTGACTGCGCAGTTGACTGCGCAGCGACTGCAGCTGCTGCTGCGATTGCTGCTGCGACTACTGCTGCGACTGCTGCTGCTGCTGCTGCTGCTGCTGCTGCTGTCACTGTTAAGCATCAAGCGACGCGCTCTTTGATTTCTTGCACATTTCACATGAGTAGCACAAACGAGTTTTGCCGAAGTCAGCGCCGAAACCCGTTTGCCGTCTTCGTCGTCGCCGTCGTCGCCGTCGTCGTCGTCGTCGTCGTCGTCGTGCAGCGTTTTTTGGTTTCGCTTGCATTAGTTTCCGCTTTCTTATTCACTCTCACTTTCATTTGGTTTTGCAAACTTTTGCTGCTGCCTGCCCCGTTACTCTTGTTGCGATTTATTTTTTTTTTGTGCTTCTTTCTTTTTTCAGTTCGTTTCGTTTCGTTTCTTTTCTTTTCTTTTAGGCGAATTACCAACTATTGCGAAATTGTATGCGGCGACGGCGACGGCGACGGAGAGACGACCACATTTCTGGTCTGTGGCAGTGAAGTAATATTTTGTTTTCTTTGCTTTTCTTTTCGGTTTTATGCCGCTGGCAGCGAAGCGTAAGTGAAAAGTGCGCAAGTGTTTGTGTTGCATGTGGATTGTGGATTGTGAAGTAATAGCAACAGAGGCACACACACAAACACAGACACATCAAATTAGGACTTGCAAATCTGCATGCGACAACTGTGAGACGGCTTACATGGCGTATGAGCAACTTTTTATTTGGCATTTTAATTAGGCATTTGAATTTGATGATTTTTTTTATTCAGCTAATGTTGCTGTTGTTGCTGTTGCTGTTGTTGCTGTTGTTGCTGTTTATCTAGTGTGAGTTGCTGAGTGCTTGTTATTTAGCGCTAGGATTTATGTCTGGGAAATTTTCGGTTGTTAGGTTTGCTTAACTGATTGCTCGTTTGTCACGAAAGAACAAAACAGTTAAAAAATGCGGTTCGCTAAAAGGTTGTGAGACAGCAAAATATTCGGCCAGCAGGAAAGTTGAAGGAAATGTATTTTAGACATTGCTTCAATAAAAAAAATGATGAACAGAAAGCAAAGCAAATCAGAATGAAACAAAAACAAAAAAAATAAAAATCACAAAACTCAAAAACTTTCGCAAAGTTCGCGCAAATAAATCACAAAACAAACGTAGCATATTTGCGAGCTGTACACAAAAATCAAACAAACAATGAACAATAAACCTTAGGGAAAAAATAAATAAACAAAAATAATATTTAAAAAAAAAACAAGAACCACAAAAATTACCGTTTGCTTTGCAAATGAAACCCAAAAATGGAGATTTCCTGCCTGTAAAAACATAAGAAAAACGAAAGAAAGATAGAAAGAAGGGCAAATATAATTTGTACATTTACATTTATATATATCTATATGGATATATGTATATAATGTAATGTGAAATGAGGCACAGAATCGAAAAAAAGCAACGCAGCATAGCAAAATGAAATGGAATGGAATGGAATGCAACAAAATAGCAATGAAAAAAAAAGGCAACCAACAACAGCAACAAAAAAAGATATAACCGATGAGCTTCGATCCCCAAAAGAAATAAAAAAAATAACAAGAAGATATTCGTGAGATACATTTGTATCTCGCATCTGTTTCGCTGTTGTGTCACTTTCACTGTCGCCGCTGATAAGGCGACTCGGGAGCAGAATCTGGCTCAGTGTTTATTTTTAGACACCGATGACTTAAGCCAGTTCAGCTCGGGAGTTGGCTTCGTTTTTTTTTGTTTTTTGTTTTTTGGCTCGGCTTCGTTAACAGTTTCTCTTGCCATTTTAAGTGGGTCAACTGTGCGTTTTTGTTGTTGTTGCTGTTGTTGTTGCTGTTATTACTGTTGTTTTGGCGGCCCAGCAACAACAAAGCACAACTCGCACTTTTTATGGCCATTTTTTATACACAGTTTCAGTTTGTATTTCGTTTTTTTGGAGTTTCTCATTTGTAATTAAAATAATTTGCATAATTTTCGTGACTCTTTTGCATTTGGTTTCCGCTGAGCTTTTTTTTTTTATTTTTTTTTTTTGTTTCTTTTTTTGAGTTTTTTTTTTTTTTTTTGTATCACTTTCATTAGAAATGCTGAGCGCATGTTCATTTGGGGAACACACGCACCCAGATCGGGCCTACGACAACAAAATTTATGGTGTTTCTTTTCTGTGGTGAAAATTAAGCTGAGAGCAGGTTTTGAGGGCCTCTTTTGTGCTTGAGTCTGGCCCTATTATTATTAATAATATTATTATTATTTGTATAATTTGTTAGCCGCTGGCCTGGGCCTTTGTTGTGTTAATGGACAATCGCTAGAGTTGGTCACAATTTTTAGTATTGTTTTTTATTTTTTTTATTATGATTTTAATGCCGCATTAAACTTTCACTTTTGCTGCTGTTTCCATTTAGTATGAAGCTGCGCATTTTGCGTGAATTTTTTTTAGTGAATTTGTGACAATTTTTGACTTTTTACCAGTCAAGTCTTAGTTTATGAGAGAGCTGGCAAAGGTTACTTCTGCTGGGATGGCAAGCAGATAAGCAGAAGCAGAAGCAGAGAAATGTGATTTAGATATGTTTGAAATGTATTTTGGTTGTCTTATATTTGTTATGTATGTCTTTGCAGTTCTCTGAAAGTTTAGCTTTAATTTGAGTGCAACTTCGTGTTTACAACACTTTTCAGCACTTGCAGACAATCCAGTTGCTGTCAATCTCGATCACATCCGTTTCAAGGCACTAAAAACCAGAGCCCTTTCCCCTTACACTGTCCTCCTGGCAGCTGACTGCGCTTCAAAGCACGCCTTGCAATAAAATGAAAGTGAGAGTAAAATCTCCTGCAAGCTGCAGCAGCAGCAGCAGCAGCAGCAACAACAAAAAACAAACAACAAACAGCCCAAACAAGTCACTACGAATGAACAGTGAAGATAAAAGAAAATCCCCCCAAAATAAACCCAAAAAAAACCCAATATCTCAAACATGGAATTGAATGAAAAACCAGTTGCCATAAAAAGCAACAACAACAACAACAACAACAAAAACAACAACAACAACAGCATGTCGAATGCCAAGCCGCATTCTTAAAAGCATAAAGTAGAACAAAAGCACAACACAAAAGAGACGGCGACATTGACATCCAAGTGAAGTAATAGTGTTGTAGAAAGCAACGCTGGGCGATAGCTGCCAGAGTTGCCAAGTATGCATATGGTAGAAGTAGTAGAATGAAGACATAATAACAGAAGCCGACATTGACATTGTAAGCTAAAAAATGTAAGGCTAGAACTACTTATATCCGCCAAGTGAAGTTGTAGAGTTATAGAAAGAGATAGCTGGAAGATAGCTGCCAGAGTTGCCAAATATACATATATAATAAAACTACTAGAATGAATACATAATCACAGATACCGACATTGACATTGTAAGCTACAAATGTAGGGCTAGAACTACTTATATCAGCTACGTGAAGTTGTAGAGTTGTAGAAAGTGATAGCTGGAAGATAGCTGCCAGAGTTGTCAAATATACATTAAGTATATCTAATAGTTATACTAGACATAATAATAGTAGTGTGCGACATTGACATTGTATGTTGCTACACATGTATGTAAGGGTGCAAACTGAACTACATTTTTCACTGAGATTTCAGCACATTTACAGCTAGTTTTGCCAGTGGTCAACTTGAGTTATGCAATGCGCAACGTTGTTTATTATTTCGAGTCCAGCTCAGCAATTGAGCACGTACGTCACAGCCGCAGTGTTGCACGCCCCTTTCACCTGTTTTAACGTTTGCGGCCAGCAGCGCTGCTCACGTCACAGTCGACAGTCGACGTCGCTGTTTGCGCATGCGTCGCGTCGATGGCGCAATTGCGGCAATTTTTACAGCAATGCTGTTGTTGTTGTTGGTTGTCTGTTGTTGTTGGTTGTCTGTTGCTGTTGGTTGTCTGTTGTCTGTTGTTGTTGTTGGTTTCGGTGTATTACATGGCACTCGTTTATGGCTCGGTTGGCTCTGGTTTTGTTTGACTGCCTTTTGCTGAAGTGCAGAAAGTGTAACACTTTCGATTGTTGTGCTTGTCTCTAGTTGTTGCTGTTGTTGTTGGCTGTTGTTGTTGCAGCTGTGATTGTTGTTGGCTGTTGTTTGTTGTATGTTGTTGCTGTTGCTGTTGGTTGTTGTTTGTTGTGTGCATTGCATTCATTCCGCACTTGCGCTCATTTGCATAGCGCTTGTTTTATGCAGCTCTTTTTATGCTTAATTTTTGCTTTATTTCCACTCGCTTTTTTTTTCCTTCAAATTAATTATGTGTGGGAAAATGTGTTGGCCATTTAATTTCCGGGTCTGTTAGCATACAAACAGAAAGCCAAAAAAAAAATACTTTATCAAACACAATAACTTTTCATATGTTAATTGTTATCGCAATAAATCAAACGAATTTTATTCATTTACATATTGGAAAATGCACTTTTAAAATGATAGCAAAAGAAACATTTTTGTCTTTTCTTTGCCACAAAAAAATGCCGTTTTAAATCGATAACTGGATTAATATAAAATATTGAATTCAATTGCCGCTAATTTGACAGATATTTTGCAATAGTTTTTAATTGGTTGGAAAACTGTTACGAAGCGAAAGTGAAAACAAGATGAAAAACAGTTCCCGAAGACACGCCCGTCGTGTAACATATTTGACAAGAGGCACACATATGGCTAGCAGCAGACAGAGACAGAGAGAGAGAGAGGGAGAGGGAGTAACTAGCCCACTTCTCACTCGCCACTCACTCGCCGATTAGCCGCAATTTGTTGCCGAGCGAAAGAAAGCCGACGGCGTGCAGTTAATTAGCTAAAATAAGGAAGCAGACGATGACGATAATGATAGTCATAGATTCAGTGCCTCAACGCTTCGGCATATCGCGAGCAAACTATAAAATTACAGCCCCATAAAACAGTAAAAAATAATAATAATAAAAATTAAAAAAAAGTAACAGACACCGAAACCCAAATATAAAATTGGCCACAACCCGCATGTGCGGGGGGGTAGGCGGGGGCCTGGCAAAGCTGAAAATTAAAACGTAATCAAAAAGAAAAAAAAAAAAAAAAAAAGAAAAAAAAAAAAACATTGAAATTCAATCAAGCTGCTAGAGTGAAAAATAAGTGCTTCTGGTCTTTTTGGCAAAGACAGGCGCGACGACGTGTGAAACAGTAACAATTAAAAGATTGCCCATACGCCGTGTGGTGCGTTTATATTGATTTAATGTCGCCTCGAACCACTTTCACTGATACTCGACAACGAAACGAAACGAAACGAATCGAAACAAGACGCCGCAGCGACGATCGACGAACGGCGAAGCAACGGTTTCTCACCTAAACACTAAACGATGCCGCATTTTGCACGTTTTTTTACAGTTACTGTTGCCGTGGCTGTTGCTGTTGCCGTTGCTGCTGGCGTCGATTGCGCAACAATTGCTGTTGTCCAGTGGGCAGCACAACAACAGCAATCAGTGCAGCAACAGCAGCAACAGCAGCAGCAGCAGCAGCAAAGACGAGTAGCCGTCGTCGTCGTTGGCTTGGCTTTTTGCCTATTTGGATTGAAGTAACTGTAATAATGCTGCTGTGCTGCAGTTAGCCGCTCTTTTTGGCGTATCTGGGTAAGTGTGTGACGGCAGCGACTGCGCCGTCTGCTGTTGGCATCGCTGCCCCCGACAATTTGCCGTTTTGTCATGTCTGCGGCACATGCGCAAAATGCATTTCAAATATCTCGCTGCATAAACGTTTAATGGCCAACAGCACGCAAGGAAGTCGTTGCCAACTGAATGCGATTTGACCATATATTTTTTCATATATTTTTGTTTTGCTTATTTTTGCATACAACAGCCAAACAAACAGTCGTCAATGGAGTCAATTGGCAAGTTTGGCTCGATAAGCCGCAGCGCAGTGGAGTCGAACGTGGCTTAGTGAGTTATGGCCAGAGTGTTAACAGATACCAGTAGAGAGCAGAACTCATGCAAATTGAGACATTATATTATTGAATAACTCATAGAAATTGACTCTTTATATCTATTTAAATATTTTAAATAGCAATAGCAACTTTATTTAAAGAGATTTACAGCTTTTTGAGCAAAATGTTGTTGAGTTGTAAAACTTTAAACTATCAAAAGACTTGGTAAATCTCCAGAAATGTTGCATATTGTACTTTAGCAAGTTTGAACAACTTTCGAAATAAATTGTGCATTTTTGGTATGGATGAAATGATGTTTCCCAAAAGCAGAAGCAACAACAACAGAAACGCTACACAAAATTTGTTGCCAACAGCCAAAAAGCCAAAAA